GCATAAAATTAATTTTGCTGAACGTTATTTTAATATTCTACGTTAGTAAATACTAAGACACAGACAACACATGTGGATACGACATCCTCTTAAATAAGTACAGCAACAGTGGTCATTTGCTTTATATATTATATTGTACATAATTTAACTAACAAATTAGTTAATATCATGAGTAAATGGAAACTCATAAAGTACTAAAATATTGTATTTGTTTATTAAATGTATTTCTCTTCAGTGTTCTTAAAGAATGATATACGTTTTCTGGTCAATAGTCAGGTCCGATTATTTTATATGTTGTGCTCTTTTTTTTCTTATTCATTGTATCTAAATTCTATCGTTAGGTGTTTACCATCAAGGCTACTCTATACGAAATACGTTTTATTGGTGTTTGACTTTGTATAAGGTGTCCATGTGTATGGTGGATGTAGCCGATTGTTAGCTGTTTTATTTTTATTTCTGTTTTAGTTGTTGTTTTAAATTGTAATCAGAGATTTATATTTTGTTTTATTTCTCTTAAATTTGCTTTTTGATTTTACTAGTCGTTTTTCCAGAGATAGTTTAAAGTTAAATTTTTGAATATCTTTATATCTTAAGTTGTAGCATATTTTAATTTGAGAGTTTTGAATAATATTATTATTATTATTATTATTATTTTTTGAGTATTGGCTGGCTAAGTCGTTTCCTTGAATTTGCAATGTCCTGGTGTATGAATGATCTGGACATTGTTATTTTCGGCTTTTATATGAACAATTGTTTTAATAATATACGTACGATCAAGTAACATTGTATTAATATGTATTACATTTTAATTAATTTTAGTATATTATCTTACCGTATACTGTTCTCTTTATTTGTAAATAATATACAAATACAAGGTTAGGCTAAGATATCTATTTTATTACGTTATCTTCAAATTGAGTGTGCTTATTGGTCATAATGCTGTAAATATTTTGCTAGAATTATTATAATCGTATATACGTATTTTACTTTCATTAACTATATACACTATAATATGTGTCCGTTTAAGCCTAATATGCTTAAATTAGATGACTTCATTTAAATTTAGCATCAAAACAAAACTGAGCACTGAGACTGTGTAAAGAGTACAGTATTCAAACGATGAATATTTAATTAATGTATCAGCATAGTTAATAATTATTATAACTTTTTCTGTATTTTTATATTTAATATTTCAATAGATATATTTGAGTGAATAACTGAATAGTTGTATACAATAAACATTGTACATTGTACAGTAGATAAAAATCTGATTATTTTAAAGATCACTATAATTTTTTTTTTTTTTATATTAATTACTTAAATAACAAGAGTTATATTGCCTGGATTTTAATACATGTTATATTAAAATTAAAACAATACTACCTTGTATATTATATTAACTATGAAATAAAAATAAATTAGGGGTTTTTCAATATATCTTGGTAATAATATATCTAATTCCATTGTGCTTGCACTTTTTTATCCTCATTCTTTTATTAATTAATGTGTTATCAAATTAATTTTTTTATAAAAATTATAATTTAAAATTCATTATTTGCAATGTATTATATTTTTATATTTAATTTTGATATTCAAAACAGAATTTTTATATTTCTTAGTTACATTTTCTAATACATGTACCTATTTTATTATTATAAAAATATTCTAAGACAGTTATATATTAAATTTATTAAAAAAAAAAATAAAACAAAATATATTTACATTTATAAACCTAAATAAATAGCAATTTTTAAGAAACTGTAACGTAGTTAAAGGAAGTTTATTACGTTATTTTTTATTCTGGGAAATTTTCTATTCTTTATTAATGAGTTTTCTGTAGATGGGAAATGTACCTACTACTTTTTCAAGGTATTTTTATCAATAAAAAAATCATGTTTGGTTTTTATATCTAATTAATTATTAATATATTTTGTAGAGTATAATAAATGCTACAAAACTCATACAATTTGATTATGTTAATCTAATATCAGACAAAGTTGTATAAAATAATATTCATGTATTAAACAATATAAATTAATAATCAACCAATTGTCGTTAGGTTAACCAATAATAATACACGAGTGAAATACAAATATAGACATGCAGTAAATCAAATTAATTTTAATTGTGTTAAACATTTTCGTTTATTTATAATAGTATGAGGAATATATTTTAATTTATGACGGCCTATTTAAAATGAAACGCTATATTATTACACTTTGTGATAATAATTATAATGTATAATAAATATTATGGAGTGGACCATTGTAATTATATCTCAAAATGTCGTCACTCGTCTAATATCAAAAATTACTTATAGTCTTATAATGATTATATTTATTTTTGAAAATAATTAATTATTTACATCTATCAATTATAATGTATAATGTGTTATATTAACTACTATTTTCAGAATTATATAACAAATTCATTTTTTAATTGTGTAAACAAACTAAATTATCTTTTTCTTATATAGGTTTTGTACGAAAAAATCGTAAAATATTTTCTGTTTTTGATAAATCAAACAAACTTCATTATGTATGGTAGTAAAAAAAGGAATTTGACCGTTTGACCTTTAGCAACTCCTACAGAAAATTGAAACTTTTATTTTATCATATTCGATAGGTATACTATATATTATTTATTTACTATATTTACTTAAAGTTTTAATTTCCCAAGTACGGATACTCGATTATTATGGCTGAACTCATCACGCTATGAAAATAAATACAATTACAATAATTTTTTAAGTACCAATTAATAAATAACCACTAAAAATGTGTCAACAGTTTTAATAAATAACTAAAACTGGAAGGGTAAGAATTTTTATCTGTTGGACATAATATATTAATATAGCTACCTCCTGTGTACTAATATGTTATTGGGTAATTCATTTTTAATAACTTTATTTTCTATAATTGTTATGTGGATTTAAATTTTATTTTTAATTATACCTATATGATATAACCTGCAAAAATATTTAAAAAAATAATATATATTCTTCCGTTAATTTCAATTGTTTAACCAACAGTGCTTAAGCTATAGATACTTTAAATTTATATTTTATCAAATTATAATAAAAATAATATTATACAATTAAACTATAATAACTATGCATAAACATAACACATTAGTATTACTCTTTTATGTTCATGGTAACGAGTAATTTTTCAGATACTTATTTAATATTTCAAACAATATAATAATTATTTGAGTATAAATAGGTTTTCTATAAATAATCAATGTACAGCAAATTTAATTTCAATTTTATATAGTACACGAACAATGTTTTATCGAGTTCAAAGTTATTAAGGTTAATAATAATAATAATAGCATGTGCCTATAGGTTATATTGTTTTAGTACGAGTTAAATTAAAGTTTAACAGTATATATAATATATTATAACAATAACCAAAAATTAATGTAGCGTAAAATTATGCAACGTCTGCTCTACAACACCTACCACCCCTAAGCCAGGATCCATCCTATACAAACGTACATTGTAAACGAGTCTAATTCTATTGAAACACTATGTTATATGTACAAACAGGATTATTTATTTTTATAACAGTAAATAGTTTTTAAATTTTTAAAATATTTTTTTTTCACAATTTATATTGATTTAAAAAATTATATTTTATTGTTAACCAATTTTTTTTTTTAATTTTCTGAAAAAGTATTTCATATTTAAAATAATATTTTTCTCTTTTAATATGTGAATATTAAATTTATAATAAGTAGTTAATTAAAACTTTAATTCTCATACAGTTATTTATCTATGGATTGAGTGCAACTGAAAGTAGAATTAACTTATTTTTATTTTCAAAAATGTTATTTTGCTACGAATTAAAATGATCTGAAAAAAATATATTTCTAAAAACGTTAATACACTCTTCTATATAAATTTCACTTAATTTATAGTATAAAGTGATTATTTAATCGCTACCTAATTAGTAATTTTATTGGCCAATTAAAATTTTTATTAAAAATGTAGTTGTTTATATAGTTATAGTTTTAAATCACTAAAAGACAATATTTTTGAAGAGAAAAAATTGCTTTTAATTTTATATTTTCTTTTCTTTTCTTTTTTTTTTTATATGACAAAAAAATACTTTAACACTACAGTTTATTTTTCTGAGAATTTGGTTGTTTAAAAATCGTATATCAACTAATACCCTGTTAATTAATGATAATAAGGATCTCAATTACATAGATAAGGAAAACAATGGGCAAAATTATTTAAAAAAAATCATAAGTTTACAAAAACAAGGACCGTATACTGTGCAGTTAAAAAATTATTACAGTATCTACATATAGCTACAGTTACATGACTCCAGTGGTTGGGATGCAATATTTTCTGTTGTCGATAATAATCTCATTTACGGTGGGGCTCATCGACACGATGGAGTTAATCGACTGTTTAATATTAAGTTCCGTTTCCTCTGATTTTCGTTAATTCCCGATCGGTAAGATAAAATATAAGTTTGTAAATTCTTGTAGATAGTACTTATTTATAATTTCAATAGTGGGTGTAATGAGAAAATTAATAATAATTGTTATCGCATATGAAAATAAATTAGTGTGGTGCTTGGGTAATTTTAAATATGCAGATTTAACTATTTTTTATTTTTTAAGTTTTTTTGCAGAAAAAGTTTTTCTAAATAACTTGAATCAAAATTTTTTTTTAATTTTAAATAGTCTATAAAAAATGTATTATATTTACATCCATGTGCATAACTATCAAATTTGTTTGTGAACCAATACATAAAATTAAAATTAAATTAAATAAGTTTCATGATTGTATTTGTGGACGGACGAATCACAATTTAAATTTTTCTGATCCTATATCTGTTTTCAAGGAATATTTATGCTACTATATTATGTTTATGAATCGTATAAAATCGTTTCGCTTAATCATACTTGCATGCATAATATTTTTGTATATGAACCAATATATTATGATTTAATCTTTTTTTTATTTGTTTTTGTTTTTTTGACAGGAGCCTAGAACAGTCGATGTTCAGCAAGGCAAACGAACTACAAGAGGATATTAGTATCAAGAAATTTGAATTTCGTACCGCACAAATGCACCTAGCAGCAATCAAGTCACAGGTAAGAATTTAAAAAGATATTTTATTCTATGGCAATTTTTTTTTTTCGTCAATATTCTTGACGGTTTTACCGCATAAATCTTTCGTCATGTTGATATATATGCATATATTTATATATTTATATTTCTTAGTTGTTGACATTTTTTAGAGATAATGTTTTTAAAAACGCTGAAATTTATTAAAATTTGAACGAATGGTTTCTACATTTTTAAACTTAAAATATTAATAATAATAGTTTTAGAAGATACTTTGACTATAATAATTTAAACATTAAAAGTTTATCACAGTTTTATAATTTCTAAAAAATATTCTAGTTTAGTTAGTACTAGATTAAGTATTATATCCGTTTTAAATTGTATCAGTCATATAAATTAAGATTTAAGTTTAATAACTTAAAAACTAATCATTCGTATTTCAATTTAGATTCTCTAACTTAAAAATAAATAAATATGATTAATAATTTACTACAAAACAGAGTGGTTTGCATTTGAAAATAAAGTTTGTATCGCTACAAATACTACTACATTTTCTAAATACTATTAAACATCTTAAGTATTTAAAAATATTGTCTTCAAGTTCCGCATATTTTTTATCATTAGTGATTCTTTCTGAAATTGTATTGATCTTGATTAAACAAAATGCATAAAATATGTATGTGAATATAAAATATTAAATTATATGTAATTACTTATAATATCAATAAAAAATAAATATAATAATTAGTTACTTATAATATTATCTTTTCTCTTTTCTCACACAATATTTTTATTTTATTTTTTATCGTGACTTATATATAAATGCAAATGTCTATTTGTATAATAAGAAGAAAAAATGAACAAATGTCAGTGCATAAATCATCCAATTATATTTATAGGGAACTCTAATATGCAAAAATAATAGCAATAATATATAATAGTATTATAATGTTTTTGCACAAAAGTTCAGCAGTTTTCGAATTATATAAATTAATATTATAATAAAAATACTGGTTGCTAAGAATTGATAATATAACTCCTATATTTGAATTAGTGGTTAAAATTTTAAATTGTTAGGAATTAAAAATTGAACAGGCTGTAATATACCTATTTTTATTATATTATAACTATTTAGGCATAATATTATAACACAATCATAAATTACGTATGCCATAGTACGCAAATATTGAAATATACTATTTTCGCCCACATATAGTATTTATTTTTAATAAAATATTCAAAAATGTTTTACGCTTCAACACCTTCGAACACAGGTGACGAGCACAACATTATTATAACACTTATGTTTAATATTATTTAAACTTGAATATGCGTAATTATATATTCATGTATATAATCATGTATTTGGATTATTTACCTAAGGCGTCCGCATTAAGGTGAGTAAATAGTTGAGAAAGGAAGTGTTACACGTTATGTATTATATGAAAAAAAAAATTAAAATTAAAAAAGGGGTTTATTTTTTTGCGTAATATACTCTTATGTCATATAGTGCATTATACGTATATACCTTTATATTATTTAATTGACATGCTTGTCCTCATTATAATCGCATGTTCTGATGTACATAGTATTTAAGTATTATAAGTATGATAGAGATATTATATGTATATTGAGTCCCGAATGGGTGAACGGGTAAGTAGTAGATATTTATTACCTATATTTTACCATCAAACATAATATATAATGAATATTATCATTTGTCGTGGAAGTATATATTATATAATTTTTATAATATTATAAGCACTCGTTATTATAATAGTAAATATAAATACATATAATAAATTAATAAGACGTACGTATATGTATAAATACAGGGTGATTCATTTGACGTAAAATACTTGTTAAATTTTCAAAAAAAAATATTAACGTTTAAAAATATTTTTTTTTTACATAGTTAATTTAAGTCGTTACAAAAGAATATTTTTTGGAAAAAATTGTATTTTATTATTTTATATACTTTCTACTAATTGAATAACAAACATTTTAAATTTAATACTTCGAAGTAGAATATCATCAAGAGTATTTTGATTTATAACTTAATCATATTCATATAAGTATAAAACTAGTTTATTAGTTATAACTTTTTTTATACATACATTCTTATTTTTTTAAACGTACAATCTATATTGGAATTTATAATTAATTAATTTTATAACGAAAGTTATTATGAGCCAACTTATATATAAGTGTTTAAAATTTCGATTAGCGAAATAGTAAATAAAAATTTTATATTTTTGCAAGGTTTCTCTCTATTACTTCATTCCATCCGTAAAAATTTTATATATTTATAACTTAATAACACTTATTTCAAATCAAATTTGTATGTATCAAAATATTTCAAAATATATTCTTTGGAATTAGGAATTAAAAATATATTTTGATATTAAGTTAAGTTAAAACCAATTAAAAAATTATGACAAACAATTTGTATGATTTAAAATTATGTAATAAATATTTTCAGTGTCTTGCGTTAGGTATATAAAATAAAAATAGGTTATATATTATTATACTATGAGATATACGATAATTGGTACGCGTGGTCTGAAATTATGACATAAAGTCAAAAGTCACCTCACTCGAACTCTTTGAGAAATCAGATAATTATTTTTATTGCATTCGTATGATAAAATATATTATAATATTATTATTTATACCATTAACCCAGTTTCTCGTAGGTACACGTGCGACGGGTGCAATTTTTTGCACACCGGAAATTTGTATCTATACCTACTGTAATAGTTAGACACATTAAGATTATACCAACATAAACCAAATTAATTCATTTCTGAAAATTAAATCTTAAGAGCTAAGATTAAGCAATTAAAGAATAAAATATAGACTTTTGAAACTACAATTCCTCCGAGAACTAAAGCTAAATTAGTCTTTTTTGAACTTATAGATCTCCTTATAGAACTCATCATAATATTATCTACTTTAATACATCGGAATTTACTTCTTTAACCGGTCAGTTAAGTGATACTTCTACTGTTGATGAAATATTCAACAGCATTGGTCTACAATGTAATTCAATATTTGTCCGTCGGTTGGGTTTACAATCAAATAAACCATGTCCAATGCTTGTTACGTTATCCACTTTTTCCGATGTATTTGAAGTATTAAAAATAAAACGAAAATTACTTGGTACTACTATCTTCAAGGATATTCGTAAGGATATTCTTATTGCATCTAATTGGAGTATTCATAGCAATAGTAAATTTTTATAAAATTGTCTCAACTTAATCTCTGCAATGATGATAATGAAGATGATTTATTTATTAGATTAATCGACAATAAATTGACTATTTCAAAAAAGTATCAAGCATATTAGCTGCTCTATAAGCAATATATCTGTAAATTGTTAGAACTTCTATGGTCTAAACACCAAATTAGATACATTTATAAGTAACACAACACTTTTTAACAATGATGCAATAATTGTATTAACTGAGTCCTGCCTATCTCATTCTGTTAATGACTTTGAGCTTGGATTTTGTTGTTATAATACTGTTTTTTGGCTTGATAGACATGAAATTTATGTTTCTAAAATTTGAAGAGGAGGCATTTTAATTCCAGTCAAAGTTCAATTTGCATAACCTAACTTGTGACAATATATTTAAATTCAAATTGTTTGTCTGTTCTGTGTATTCCACATCGCGCTTTGATTTTAATTTATATAACAGCATTGTTAATGTTATTGATAATCTTATGAATATCGTTGCTAATAATAAATCCATGATTTAATGTGATTAAAATTTTACTTATGTTAATTAGAAATTTAATTTAAATAAAAATATGGATTTCTAATGAATTAAAATTGTGCTTATAACTTTAGTATTTTTTGGGATATTTATAGTGTTTGTAAGCACAATTATTAATTTTTTCTTCGAAATTTTTCTATATGTTACGATATTATTAACACAGTATCTCATTTTAAAAATTAGGTATATGTCTGGAGTAGAGATTGCAAATAGCCGATTATCAAAAATAAGTAGGTAAATCTTAGGAAAAAAAAAATTGATTGCACACGTCATTATCGTTGAAACTTAGAATTAAATGTGTATTATATTGAATTGTTATTATGCGAACAACATTTTAACAATAATAATTTATAACCCTAAATTATAATATAATTTTGTGGATATAAATTAACTGGTATTTATTAGGTATTATCTGTTTTTATTCTTAAATATATTTGTATAATTTACATTTTAGACATCAAAACTACCATGGACATTTAATATACATAATTAATGATTTTACAGCACGTCTTGTACTTAGCTGTACGTAATAGAAAATAAAAATAAACAATAAATTATTACGTGCAACGAAAACCATATTAGTCGTTTATAATGAACCTGTCATAAGCTATCTTTATTTTAAATAATTAATAGATGTGTAATTGTTTACAATTCGTTAATGTAGATTAATAGTCCGTTTCTAATGTATTTTTCCACCATAGGTTCAATATTATTATTATTATTAGTCGGTGTACAATTTAACCATAACTACAAGTGAACGGTGTGGAGTAATGGTTGGGATATATTATCGATTTGTATATTTATGTTAAGAGATGCAAGTTGTTATCAATCAGTGAGTAGTTAAATTATTTTCAGAGACTATTAAAAAAAAAAAGGTAAACTAATTGCGTATTAAAAAGCGAATAAATGTCAACGGCCACTGTGAATTAGTCATGCTGTACATATTATTATTTTTATTATTATATACCAACGCGCAAATAAGTTCAAATAATAAAAGTAGGAAATAAATTAAATTATTAGATATATTATATGTTAGATGTAGAAGTAGAAGTGTACAACTAAGTCAACGGACAGTAATACTTTTTTCTTTATATTTGTTGATTATAATGCACATTTAATAAAATCTCTGTAAAACGATTAAAAATTTTAATATTTTTGTTAATTTATAAATAATAATGTACCTATTGTACCTAGTAATACAAGTTATCATGATCCATAATAAATTATACACGTTATAAACTAAACTA